ATCTTTTAACTCTTTTGGTTATTATTAAGAGCCAATAGTTTATTTAAAGTTGACATTCGCTGCAAAATCCTCAATTTGTGTTACAATTATTCAGAGGTATAAATATAATCTACTTTTTATCTCATTATAATCATATAATCGTAAAATAATTGCAAGAGAAATATAAATACATAAATAATTATTATAATATACATATATACATATATAAAGTTATATTAACCTTTTTGTAATAATTTAATTGTAGCGTTAACTAAATAACCTACCGAATTTCGAAATACAACTGTTATAAAACTTTTGGAAACCAAACCATTTGTGAATTGAAAACAAAAATCAATTAAACTATATTTCTTGTATAATTAGATAAAAAAAATTCCTAAAAAATAAAATTGTAAATATGTATGCAGGCTTACATTGCGCATACCCTTTCACTCGAGTCAACACGATAGTCATTGTTTTTAATTGCCTGCATTAGCGTGAAAACATGACGTGTTTCTGCGCACTTTCTACTGATAATTTAAATCAATAAAAACAAATGTTAAGTATTATAACGGCACGTTTTGTAAGTTCTAATTTACATAAGACTTAAACATATGGAGACATGAGTATAATAATGTATAATCCTAATGATTCTAATATAATAATGGTCGCTAAATCTTAAAACATTCGAGCTTATGAAATTACGTCCGTTACCCACATTTTACTAGATAAGGTAGAGAATGACAATCTTGAAAATATGCTAAAGTTAAAGGTAAACTAAGAACAGCAAATTAAATTTTTAAGAAAAAAGAAAAAATTCTAGTAACACATACCCATTTAATTAATATTAATTTTATAAAAGCTCAAAAGTAACCCTATACATTGAGAAAAAGAACTTTTTGTTTAACCCTAAACAAATAATTTATTTGATAGTATCTTCTGAGAAACACAAATTTAAGTCTGTTTAACATAAAATGTTTCCTATGTCAAAATATACATACATTTCGGTGTCCATTCTAAATCTATCGCTCGATTATACATTTTATAATGATTTCAAAAAGATAAACCGATGTGTGCGTTATTCCAACCCTGGACGTGAGCTCCTTAGAAAGACAAAATTATAAATATTGAATCAATTTTTAAACAAATTATCTAGATCATGTTTGAATGCCAGCTTTAATCCTCTATCTTATTTGCAAAATGTCTTTATCACCTGACAGTTGACAAGAATATTCAATGTTACGAATTGAGCTTACTTTTTGAAGTTTGTTTATCTTTTGTAGCACTTTATTTACTACTTAAAGTAATAACATTTGACGATTTAAGAATATTTGGTAAATTTCCCGTATTAAAAATCATAAACAGCTTTAATTTTATTTTATTGTACGCTTTTCTATTGATTTTCAAATTATTGTGTGATTTTATCAAGAATTTGTATTATTAATTCTTAATTGCTTATCAAGTGGGAGACAAAAATACAAGCACATGCCCATTGATATCAAAACACCTGCAATAAAAGTAATAAAATTTATGTTTAGAAGTCGTGCTAATGAACTCATTTGAACTAAAATAGCGTTAAGTATGGAATTTCGTGATTAAATAAATTTTTGCCATAGACAAATCAATTGATTTACACATCAGCTGATATTAAATGTGTGTCAGTATAATTTTAGCTTTTTTATATTTTCTATATTTTTAACGTACGCAAAATGGCAAAATTATTATGGTGGGATGGTAATATTTATTTATATAGATAGGTTATTGTCATCCATATTGCGGAAAGCTACTGGATCGTAGTTCCCGTTATGCTTGCGTTGGATACTATAACTTTCGTTGTAGATTTACGTGAGTACCTGCCGGCGACGGCCTTACCTCACGGTGTTCCAAAACACAACGTATCAATACAATGCGTTGATAAGCGCCCCAAACAATACGAGCTTTTTGCAAGTATTTATTTGGATACCAGTGGCAGGGTCCACATTACCATCTTGGTGTGATTCGAGGCCGACCTAAAACCTCTTCCGTTTTCGGGTACGGCACCCAGTTGCTTGTGCAACTTCTTTTTTCGAACTGAAAATTCAGCTCTTCCAGCATTCAGGTTTAAACCACAGCCACCACGATACTCCCCAAAGGGCCGAACCCAATGAGCAGATTGAACAGAAGTCCAAGGGCTTTCTGCTCCCCGTGGTACCGGAAAGTCTCCGGTCAGACTGCGTAGCCTAAACTACTGCCAGTTGAGCTCCCCATTACTCAAATGACTGGTGACATTTGTCGCTTGAACTTCAAATGTCTTTTTATTCGCTTTTTCATTTAAAGTGTTTATAATATCAGTTCAAGCTGAGTATTATAGCACTATTCCTCAACATACTATACTGATATTACTGAGCAAGGTATATAATAACAGTCATAGTGCATATTGGCTTTTAGTCGCCTTTTACGACAGGCATGCCTTGCCGCGGGCATATTCTATCCCCTGCCCGCGGGGGTCGTTGGATACTATAGCTGGCTTTTACTTTGAAGAAGGCTACTGAAGCCTGAACCCTGAGTTTATATTTTTGGGAAGCGCTGTACAGAGTAATTTGCACCGCTGCTCAAATTTTTGGCAACAATCGTATAATGTTACATAAACAAATGAAAAGAATTTAAAATAGTAATGTTTGGTAGAATTGAATTAATTTGTACGTTCCTCGTGAAATCACTCAGTTTCTGTACCTTGAATCAATTTTTAAACTTGATTAGTACAAGTATAGTATTTAAAGAGCAACGATATTTTTAAGATCATTTTTGGTAAATCATTAATTTTAAAATGTTCGTATATAAATAAAAACTAAAGTATACATATTTTCTTAAATATATTCATCATATTCAAACTCCAAAATTCGCAAAATAGTCTAGAACATTGGCACATTTCGACCTTTTTCCATATGATAGTAATCCATAGCATATACAAAATGGCGACAGCCAACTCAATTGCTTGCGAGAAATAGTCGATATCCACTCGTAATGTAAAATTTGGCAAACTATTGTATCCTATTAGTAAACCTATACACAGCTATTACGCTATGAACACTGAACGTATTCATAATGTGTGTATATACGTATGCCCCATACATAGTAGGTATTCATTTTAATGGTCGCAATTTATTTGCCGGCTTACATCATTTTGGCTAACAGCAATGTGGCTGATTTTCCGACATAAAAAAAAGAAAATTGTATAATTATTATTTTCTTTTTGCTCTCGAAATGAAGTAATCGTAACAAATACTTATATGAATCATTTTTATACTCGCGCAAAGTGCATGTGCAAATATTTGTGAAGCATGCTTTTGAACCAAAAATATAATAATTTTAATATAAAGTATCAAATGATGATTGATTGGTGACATAATATGAACGTCGGAGACCCAACAAAATATAAATATAAATGATCAGCGTGACGAGGTGAGTCGATTTTGCCATGTCCGCCTGTCTGCCTGTCTGAATATACGCAAACTAGTCCCTCAGTTTTTAAGATATCGGTCTGAAATTTTTCACAAACCTTTTTCTCCCCAAGGAGTTGCTCATATATCCACACTGTCGATATCGAACCACTATAGCACCATAGCTGCCATACAAACTGAACTATCAGAATCAAGTACTTAAGGTTAAGGTGCAATATCCAAACAAATTATTCAGATCTGATAATTAAACCATATATCGGTCACACAAACTGATCGATCAAAATGAAATTCTTGTATTGAACGTTTTTTTTAAGGGTATTATAGCTTCGGTGCAATATGTTTATATAAAATGTTATGTTTTTGATAACTGTCACTTGAAATATTTGTATGAAAATTTATTTAAATTTAGATTTTGATGTTTTATTATTAATTTGCAAAATTAATATTTGCGTTTATGGATTCTAGTTTAATGTAATATTTCACTCTTATTTACCATTAATTTTAACACGTCTCCATTGGCATCACTTAATACTAAGCAATTAATTGTGGAAATCAAGGTTTTTTTCATGTTTTGGTTTTAGTTTTTACCGTAAGTTATTCCGGATTTGAAACTGAAAGTTCACCTTTTATGACTTTCCAAGCCAACTATGCTATAAACACTCTTTTCAGCAGCATACAACTTCGTCATAAAATAATAATTTCTCATTGTTACATTACATTTTCATGCCAATGATCTTTATACAACATTAATGTGCCTTGACCTAAATTCCCACAAGCCTTAAACATAATATTGTCCTTAGGAGAAAGTAATGAATATTTTACTGATATTTCCAGGTAAAATATTTTTTTATTATTATTATTGGCTACAAATATGCACATTATCATAAGGTAATCGAGTTTCCCACAACACTGACAAGTTATCACTTTTACTTACTATCTACACAGGCTGCTATTTGATATTGTCATACGGTGTTTTGGCATAGACGGTTACGTTTATTTACTATAAAACGCTCGTGGAAAACCTTCAATGGCATCAGTATTAATTTCGGTTGTATGTATTGACAGCTTTCTGTATGCTAACGGTTGAGAGTGGTGGCTATGTTGTGCGGGTGTGTACGCTGGCCAGGTAGAAAGGATATAATGTGGGTGCACATGCACTTGAAGCAAATCCTTGGGAAGCTGGCAAGTGCACTCGTACTTGTGTAGTTGTTTTTCCACGGTTATAAGCAACGAGGTTGTAGAAATGTTTATACAGCTGATACCGTTCACTTTGTGCTCAACCCAAGTCCTAGGTATGCATTTTTAATAAGATGCATGAATTTATAGTTGGTAAAGGATATGATGAATTCAATGCATATCTTTAGGCGCATTAACTTATAATATGTTAATATTCTGTGAGGCTGACTGAGCCATTATATATTTGAATTTAAAAAATACAAGCTTTGGATAAATAAATAATTATTTGGAAGGATGGCAGTGGTTGAGAATTTAAATACATATCAGCAGACATTTTATTTAAATAAAGATATGTGAAAGATTAGTAATCACGTTAATAATAATTTTTTTATTTCTCTTTAATTGCAGATATAACAAAAAAGAAAAAAAGAGGGTGTGAAAAAGACACCAAGATAATTAGCTTGAAGCAAGAAAATTTGAAAAGAACAACAATTCCGTTTTTGCTACGGTTACCGCCAAAGTAACTGGATTTACACTGTTTTACGCCGAAGGGAATGGTATATTTCTTGGGGGATTGGGGCATGGGAGATTCTGACTGTACGTCATATCATCAACATGTTCCAACAATACAACAGACCACTTTGCATGCTCACAGCCACAGCCAACACCACCACCATCAACAACAAGAACAGCAGCAGCAGCAACATGTACAGCAAATTCACGTACAACAGCAGCAAAATGAGCAGCAACGCCTTGAATTGCAATTACAATTGCAACAACAGCAGCAACAACATATTGGCGAAGTTGCACCTACATTAGGCCAACTATCGCCCATTCAGTTTGGCAGCGGCACACCAGATGCTACAATATTGCTGGGCAATACTCTCACAGCTGTACAACAACATCAGCAGCAACATTTATTAACTAACTCACCGCAACATGTGGCGAGCAGCACATTAGTTACAGCCAATTTGCAACAATTGTCTGTGAGCAGTAACAGTCGCAGTGATAATCACTGTTCGACCCCTATTAAGTCTACAGTGCTTGATGCTTTTGATAACACCGCCTATCAGCAACTGCAGCAACAGCAACAATCTATCCAACAGTTACAACAACAACAATCGTTGCCAATACAAGCACATCCGCTTGCCTCGGCGACAGCTGCTTTGCATCAGTATTTGGGTCGTCAACGTTCCGATTCGTGTTCCGGTAATGTTGGCAGCTGTACGAATGCACCTTCAACGCCGACTGTACCAGCGGAACACGGTGGTAATAACAGCAACGGCAAAGGATCAACGGCAGCAGTAAATAATTTCCTGCAACCACAGCTGAGTAAGGACCTCCTGGAAAGTGAGGATGAAGTCGCACTGCAGCCGCTCTCCAATCAGGTAGGTGTAAAAAGAACTTTATGCCGCTAAGCTAGAGATTGATATTTAACACACACATTTGAGAAATTAATTACAGGTGCTTCCTACACTTATGTATATTATATATCGATTTCATTGATAAAAACAAGATATAAAGTCACAATAATTAATAACATTAATTTCTGTTTTTTTTTTAATTACTCTTATTTTGCTCATAAAATTTCAAATTCCTTAAATAATTCTTAATTACTTTATGAATAACGTCATTTTGGCAAATCGTTCAATAAACTTTGTTAATGAAAATTATCGTAGAATCACCAGCAAAACAAAAAATTTAATTTCATTGACGAAAACTTCATTTTAATTTTCACTTTAGTAAAATATATTATAAAAAGTAAATTTTAATAACAAAAAATAATTTTAGATCATTTATAAATTTTGCATTTATTTATAAATTAATTCAAATTACTTCCTTTCCCCAAAATATTTATTTTTATGGCGCACGATTAAATGTGCGAAAAAAATAAGTCACTTTTATTTGACGCTAAATTTATTTAAGTTTAGAAATCATATGTATATTGGAAAAATAAAATAAGACAAATCAAGAACTGTTGAGTTGGCCAAATCGGTCAAGTTCAAAGTATTTTTTGGTTTTGTTTACGGCAACATGTTAAAATACGCGTACACACCTGCGCTGAAAGAGCCTTTCAACATGCTGCATATAGTATTTGAACTAAAAATAAATGTTTATTTATAATATTTAAAATAATAACATTTTATGAATATACTATGCATTCATGTTTTTTATTTCAACATACTAAAGTAAACAATAGAATTATTAATTAGCTTAGTAGAAAAAAATAGCGAGCTATAAGTACATACATATATTTTGAAAATCAGCGCAAGCTTAATTTTCTGTTAGACGCTTTTCAACTGTTTAGCAAATTTAAACCAACATATTTCAAGAGGAAATATATGCGATTTCCGTTCTATTATCTGTGTCATCTTTCCTCGCAATTTCTCTTTATCGATTTATTATTATTATATGTACAGTTGTGTGTATATAATATTTATTGAAAATAAATTAAGAAGGCAAAGTATTTAAGGTATATATTTATATTTGGGAACAGGTTTATACGCGTCTTCGCTCATTTTTCTGCCACTTTGTTGGTTGTTTGTTTTTCTTGTTTTATGGAAAATATTTACTCTGCACATATACCATAATGTGCAACGTGTGGTAAAAGTCAGTTTGTTTGTTATTATTGTTTTAATGTCATTGAACACTGTAGACGCAAAATAAATAGCATTTCTTTGATGGGTCATTGCAAAAATTTGCATTGTTTATATTTTTAACTATTGGATGGACATAGGTACATGCATGCGCTAACATGATATTTCTGAAATATAATTTAGGTTACAGGAAGTAACGAATATCTTGAGTTGCAAATCCTAAAGTATTTACAATATATCTGTTATATATTAGAAACTTTCAATTAAATCAGTATTAAATCACTCTTAATTAAATTTTTTTTATATTTAAAAAAAGCCAAATTGTTTATATCTTGACAGATATTTTGCCTTTTACTTAATTATTAATAATTTCACTTAAAACAAGAAAAAACGTTAACTTCTGCTGCACCGAAGCTGTAATACCCTTCACAGGTGCATTTCTTATAACATAAAGGGGGATAAAAAAGATCCTTACCTTGATTTTTATCGATCTGTTGATATGGCAGCTATATGCCATAGTGTTCCGATTTAAACAATTTCTTCCAATAATGTACCGTTGTCTTAGGTGCCAAATTTCGTAAAAAATATCGTCAAATAAAAAGGTTGTACGTACAAGAAGATGATTTTGAGCGCTCAGTTTGTATGGCAGCTATGTGCTATAACCGATATCGACTGTTCCAACAAACGAGCAGCTTCACGGATAGAAAAGGAAGTGTATAAAATTTTAGATCGATATCTCAGAAAACTGAGGTAGTTTGCGTATATACAGACAGACAGAAGTACATTGCTAAACGTAAATTTATTTATAAGGGTTCCAACGTTTCCTTTTAGTGTAACAGACACTGTGACAAACCTGATATAACCTGTTCAGGGTATAAAAATTTCATTAATAATGATAATTGTGATTGATTTAATCAACACGACTGTAATATGTCCGTAAAAATGTATAGGCAGTTGATAAAATCTCGTTCATACGGGTTTTGAAAAATTAAACGAAATGATTCACCTGGTATGGTATTATTCATATTCATATACATATTTATACATATATGTACATGAGTTTTATTGCATAGGTTCCATTCGCAAAAATGACATATTTTCCGATATAGGAATATTTCTGAATTGACGTCATAAGGTTGGAATGTTTCGGTTAATTTGCGCAGTCTTTCAATTTTAATTATAAAAAAATACTCACACTTACGAATGTGGACAGCGAAGAAAATATTTTTCATGTTATTTAATATTGTTATATACTTGGGTACATATACATACATTTCGAAAATAAGTGAATTGTTGTAATGGCAACTTTGCTGCTTGGTTAAGTATCAACTTTTAGTATTTACCAAACCGTACACTTTGTTCAAACTAAGTTATTACAAATGGACATTATTTTTCATAGTCGATAAATCTGTATTATTATTATTTATATTAATGTATACACTTTTCCGTCTATATTTCAGGTCGGTGGTCACACACGTCTTCTACTGTTGAATCAATCCACTGTCATAAAGCCATTGAATTTGCGTGAATTGGACTTCTATCAAAACATTCCGCACGATGTACAGAAGTTTGTGCCCAAATACAAAGGTAAGCAGACGGCCATTTATTAGTTGAATACATACAAATATACGAAGATAGGAAAGTAGAAAAGTAAGAACTAAAAAATGTTTTTCGAAGTTTATTTAACATCTGCCAGCATTGCATTCATTTAAATCATTTAATGTTTTACATATAAAAATAAAAATAAAGGGAAAAGCAAAAATTTAAATATTATTAAGTGAATTATATCGCTGTGTAATGAATTTTAAAAAAGGATAGTCTTAAATGTTTATTATATGTCAATATTTAAAAATAATAATACAAAATAAAATAATTAAAATAAAATAAAATGCAAAGCAGTTAAACTTGTGCAAATAGTGCCTACAAAAATAATGTCGCACAATTACCAATATATATCGCGATAACCGTGAATTGTGCACAGTTATACAAGTATAATATTGAATTGTTTATCATTATGTAGTTTTGCATATACATACACGTATGTTTGTCTGCTCGTGTAAACTCCTTTCAGCACCTCATATCAGGTATCAATTACTGTCTACGACATCAATTACAAATCGAACAATAAAATCGAAATCATTAACCAGCTCTTCACTCATCTCTTCATCTCTGTGCGTGTTATTTTTATGTTTTTCTATTCCTTTTTTTGTTTACTTTTAGCACTTTAAAGAAATCCAGGAAACATTTGTAAATATGGCTGTTTTAAATTGAATTATAACATGAATTCAAGTTTTTAATCTATATGCTTATATTAGATACATATTTCCATTTTCATAAGCTGTGATACGATTGATATATATATATATATATATTTACACGAGAGTATTACTCTACTAAAAATTAAAATTTAATTATATATAGATTTTACTTTTATGTAGTAAGCTAGATATTTAATATAAAAAAATTGTAACCTGCTATTTATGGTGCAAACTAATAAAAAAAATACTTAAATACAACAATAAAATTACGCTGAGAAAAGTGAAATAGACAAATATTAATAAAATGTATTTGTTAATAAAAAAAATGAAATAAAAAAATTGAAGCATAAACAAATAAAAAAAATTGAAGCATAAACAAATAAAAAAAATAAAACAAATTGATTTAAAAACAAAAAAAAATATGAAAAATGTGTTAAAGACTTCTTTGTATTTAAGTAACAACTGTAAGAGACATTTACAATAATGAATACACAGGGTTTCAATCTATGCTAGTAAGTACTAAACAGTAGAATATGGATTATTTTCTATCAAAATGTACACCAATGTGTATCAAAGCTACGACCGATTGTTAAAACTAAGCGGCAATAAAGTGTATATAAGCATTAAGTCAATAGTTAATAATTGAACTAGCGAGCGACCACATGAAAAGTCGATGGCTTTGAGTTGAGATATCGACTGTGTACATATATGTTTACCGGACGTGACATTTTAAGTTCTAGAAACCACAACAAACCCTGTGTATTTTTGCAATATTGTTAGTCAACATTTTTAATCTGTAAATCGTGCAATTACAATTTTAAAATAATTGTTTAATAACATTAAGCATGAAATTGTTTTTGTATTCCTATTTACAGATCAAATATATGTTTGAAATGTATGTAAAATGTCTGTAGAATAAATTACGTGCTTCAAGTGTGTTCAACTTTCCGTAGTAATGCATATTTAGATTTAGTAACAGTTATAAGTGCTTCAAGGGTAAGTGCAAATACAAGAAAAACAAAATAAGAATAGAAAAAGGTATCGAAAAAATATACATGCATACCTTGAATTTTACTCGTATAAAAAATAGTAAGACATATTTATCAAATATAATAAAGTTACGGCAAAGAAATGCAGAATTTTAAATTCAATTCAGTCAAATTTGAAATTGTTTAAAGCCCTATATTTGCCTTAACTTTGTTGAAATAAATTTTAATAGCTTGTATATATATATTTACACTCTTATCATAGTTAACTATCCACTTTACTTCATTTAACTTTTCACAAACAAACATCTACCCACTGTATGAATATTAAAATCCTTGTGTGCTTACAACTCTCGCCACCAAATTTGTTTAAAAAAAATTGCCTGTGTGTGTGAGTACGTTAGGGCACACGAGGATGTACGTTGAAATGATTTTTTTGGTCTGCTTTTACTTCCCGTACCTGTGTAGCCTCGTTGCATGGCTCGAAGATACGTAGAAAATGTGCGCCAACAGAGAAATGAACATTGAATCAGTGCAGTGATATGTGCAAACAATGATAACGAGAGAAGGTTAAAGTGATTGAATGCGAGCGCGTGAATACATTTTTTGGGCTCATCTGGAACCACTGGGGGCTCGGGAAACTCGTTGTAGCGTAATATCCTCAAAACCTGTTTTCTTTTTTATCAAAGAGCAAACCAAAGTTGTGTTTTTTTCTTTATTTATATATTATGATTCAGTGAAAGCATGTCGTCATCGTCGGCCGCGATTTGTTGTTGTACAAGGCAACCTACAAACAATAAAACAATGAATCTGAAAACTGAGGATCGCTTCCGCGCAACCCCCACAAACAGAAACCGAAATGAAACTGAAACTGAAACCAATGTGTAACATAAAAGCACATCGCTCCTCTTATATACATACAAATGTACATAATTCTGCATAGCGAAATCAGTCTGACTCTAATCGTGCTATTGCCTTTTATGCAATAAGTCGATGACTAAGACGAAGACGAAGTCGACGGGTATATCACGATTTCATTACGGAAGGGTTTGTATAAAGATTTTATCCCGATCTTTAAATCGTTTATTAATACGTGTATCGATTTTAATTACAATGAAATTAGTATAAATATAAACTATATAGTACTTATTTTGTTTAGGTAAAGCAGAATTTTTTTTTTGCAAAAAAACTTCCATGTTTCACAATTGTTTACTTAATTAATTGTACACTGCAGATCTCTTTAGATGTACTTACATCCATTCCAAGAGTTCTTTAAAAGTACCTGCGTATATTGAATAATCTTTACTTGTTCTTTTCTACCTATTTTTTCTTAATTTTATTGAATTTATTATACTTAGGTAATGAGTACATATGTCTTCATAAAAAGAGCGCTTCATATTCCCATTTGAAATTTTAACAATTTTTAATATAATTTATCGAGGTTCAGTGACTTCCACTCAGACTCATTTATATCCTCCCAAAATTTAAACCCCCTTGAACGTTTCTAGAAAGAAACACGATTGAAGCTTCTAACAAGTTAACAAGGTAGAAATCTGTAGAAAATAAGTAATATAAATAGCTTTTAATAATAAAAATAAATAATTTACAAATGTATATGAAATTGTCCTTAAAAATAAGGCGCTACGTTTTTACAGATCACTTGTTGTTTGGCTTCGTAGAATCTGCGTGGAACGTTTCTAGAAATGTTTCATGAGTTCCTAACTGATCGCTTCTCCATTCACTTAACTTTTGTATGTTAATTATTCGAAAGATATTTTTTTAAAAACAAACTTAGTCGCACATTTAGTGAATACCTTTTTTTTATTTTTTTTTAATATTTATCGAATTTACGAACATTACTAAAACCTGAAATTTCAAAAATATCAATTAGTCAAAAAAATAATATTTACTTTTGCCAAAAAATTGTAAAAATAATAAATTTTTAAAAAAGATTTTATACTTAAAAAAAAACAGTGTCGCCAGCGTCGTATATGTATAAGTACAAATACATACATATATTTTCATTATTGTTTTGTACACGCCCTAAATATTTCTACACACTATACACCAGTGTGTGTTGAAATTACAAAGTTTAAAACATAATCCTTCAACACTCGATTTCACGCCATCACATTTGTGATAGTTGCCACCTCAGCATCTCTCTCTACTAATTACTAATAGAAAACAGCATAAAATAACATTAATCATTTGTATGCATATCAACTTTGTCCGTTTTTAGGTTAAGCGAAATTTTAAATATATATTTATTTTAATTTAATTGAATAATATATTTCCAGCGAGAAGCAATGTTCCACAACTAATCATAAATTCCCTCTATATGAATATTTTTTGTAGGCGTGATGCAAGCGACCACAATGGGCGGTGCGAAATTGGAAAAACGGTACTCGCCGAGTTTCCGCGAGGAGCCGGTGCGTAAAATGAGTACCACAAAGCGGAAACGAGATGATGTGCTAAGGTATGTTATAATCTTACTACTCGTTTAATACATTTGTATACTTAGCTTTCGTTGCAATCTGATGCGACACAACTTTTGTCGAAAACAAATTTTTCAAAAATTTATTAAAAACGATTTTATATATTTATTTCTTTACACATATACTATATTATACAATACAAACATAGATCAAAACTATACATGTCAAATGACCCAACAAAAAAATATGGCAATGAATTTTTGCTTTTATTTTAGATATAATGAAATTACTTTCAATTTATGTTTGCGTGTGCGCGCGTTGCAATAACAAAAAAATATACAGATTTGTGTACGTGATACCAAGCTCTCCATAAAAAGCTAACTTTTGCGGGTATGAATTGAAAATTAAAACATTATTTTTGTAAATAAATATTTGTTTATAAATTACAAAATATGTTTTAACAAATTCTTGTGATAAATTCATAACGAAGACTAATTAAATAATGAAATTCGTATGAACATATCCAAAGCACAAAACATGTTTCCATGTCCCCCTATATTTCTTTTAGGCCGCCATTAACGACGACCACCATCATCAAACCATTCACATTGAGCAATATTGTTGTTTGATATGTAACCGTGTGTTCAGACTCAAGCACGCGGTCGTAATTCAAAAATAAGGTAGCAAGCCAAATGAACCGCCACCCCCAGTGAAATAAATGAGCGAGCTAACGAGCAAGCAAACGAAGAAATGTGCGACTGTTTGGACGGCTTCAATTTGCTGCCCCCACCCCCACAAAACACTGGAGCCGCACTGCACTGCACATAGCCACTCGACTCCTTGCCAGCCAGTAGTGAAACGCCGACCGAATAGCCGCTAACGCAAAGCATGGCCGAGCGCTGCTGTTGACGATGAGCTGGGAGCCTAGAGCGGAATACAAGTAGCAGCGATCTGTAATGCGTCCATTCTCGGTACACAAACTCGTTGCATAGAAATGTATACAATGTATTACATGTGATATTCTATCGTACTTTATAAGTGCATTATTCGATTTTTAAAGTTAGCATTATTATCTTAGCTAGAAAAAAATAAGCCAGAAAGAATGTCATCAATTTGTAGTTCTAATAATTTGCATATGTAGGTAAAAAAATTAAAGCATCTACTTTCACGTTTATTGATTTCGACTATATGTAATATTTACGTACTAATTATTAAAATCTGTATAGTATATTAATAAAATAAAAAAAAATTAAACAAAAAACAACGTATTTGTTAATGCAATTTTTAATGCCTACAAGGTTTATTTTTCTTCTTTTCTCTTACAGGATGAAAGTTCATAAGAATGGAAATGCAGCCGATGTTATAAAAAGTATTTCGCAATTAGACAACACAAATAAGCAATGTTAGTATCCATAGAAGAAATTGTTGTGGCCACACGCGACCAAATAACCAACCAATCATTCAAACATTCAACAACACTAATTTTTTGTCAACAAAACCTTCATATTTCACATGTCATGCAATTTTAAATGCATCCAATAACCACAAGTCTTACTTCAAAGTAATGTTCGTATGTCATCAATTTTACGAAACTCGTATTTTGTCAACGTCATCAAAATATTCTGATAATTTCACGGTTTCATTAAGAAATATTCGAATCAAAGTGATGTGATGATTTTGTTATACCTTAGCTTTTCTTGTAGGACGAACGTATTTTCAAACCATTATAATACATACATATATATTTTTAAATCCTTTGGTAAATCCACATGTATACACAGATGGGATGCTCTGCAACAAAGTTTTGCAAATTTTTCTCTAACAATCCACTAGAATCATTTCCGTGCATAAGTTTTCTCTCTATGGACCTGTATGTATGTATATAATTTATTGGTATTGAATGCTTTGCAACCGCTGATCAGTCTGTAACATCTGTTTAATTCATTTTATGATCAATTTTAGATCGATACAACATATTTTTTAACACATTTTAACAATCTCTAAATTAATATTTTGACATTTTACAAAGTTTAGGAAGTTTTTCAACACATCGTAGCTAAGTTCGAGTTTTGTAATTCGGTTTTAGCATATGAGTTTGTATTTTAAATTAGCTGACTTTATTTATTTATAATTTTGCACAACTATTACGACTTTTTTTGAGATCTGAGGATTAAATAGATCATCTGTGGTCATTGCTTTACATATTTTATACAATTACTTACGTATATGGTATTATTGTCGACTAGGTATTTGGCCGAGTTTTTTTTTTATTTTTAACTTATAGATTTTTAGTGTTACATCCGTAATTTTGACATTTCCTGAAGAATATTCGTAAAAACTTCGATTTGCTTTGATCACGATTTGACTTATAATTATATTGATTATTTAATTTACTTTTTCCTATTTCTAATTTTTAATTTGCCGAATCTTGCAAAACGCAGAGAAGAAATTCTATTCTAAGTATAAAAAACTTCTAATTAATTTCAAAACTTGTCACTCTTATATAGAAAATTTATAAAACATGGCTTGACTTGGGGCAAGTTCACAACACATAAACCACTTGTTGAATTATACTCAGAGTTCGTGCATATAGTGAGCTGATTTACTTATAAATTTATGCCAAAGTAGCAAGCAAAAAGGGGTAATCGATTCGTAATACTCGCAATTGTAAATCCACGCCTTCTTCTATAACTACAGTCCTTTGGGAAAAATTTCTCATCTTCTTGTTCTTAGAGTCGGTGTTCTCCTCTTGTCTTCCACGTTTCTAGATTTTTCTCGCATAGAAAGGGTTCTCATTATTTCAGCACAGTCGTTTGCAACGTTTTTCAATCACTGTTTTGACGTCAGGCAGTATACAAACATTCGAATGTGTTTCTTTTATTTCTTATATGTTATACACTCAAGATCAAGATCAAATTACACCAGTTGCATCGACTGAACACGAAACGAGTCTTCGCTCAGCCACCGTATAGATTTAGCCCCCCAAAGCCAGTTAACTTTTCGTGTCGTAAACAAAGAGCTGTCAATAAGTGTATAACATATGGAGATCAAATTTCACACAAACATAAAAAATTTTGTGCCAAACTTGGAATTTGCTTTTAATAATTAGGTTTGCGCCGTTTAAATCGATCAGTTTGATTTTGAGTGTACTTTTAAAGTTGATTTCTTAAATTGGGTTGACTCATCGATTTAATATTATATATAAGGATCAGAGCACAAGAAAGCTCTGATTTTCACAAATCATTAAGTCCTCTACATTTGTAAATAGTTTTCTTCCCTGACATGTGATGAGAATGTGATTTTTGCAAGCAGTCGATTGACGAAGGGCACGTGAAAGATCTAAAAATATAAACAGTGTACATGCATACTATACTTTATGTGACTACCAAAGGCACATAGTCTTTTCGCTAAGCTCAGCGTAATTTGACACCACGTCGCTTATTGTGTAATTTTAACGATTGTGAAAAATTAGCTTTTGAGTTGAACCAGCGAACACAAGAAGGAACAGAAAGTATTATTTCCATGCCATTTCAATTGTATGCATATATATGTATGTATGTGTGTATATAGAAATGGTATTTATTTATTTTGTATGCCGAACAAATGATAATGCATACATTTGGCTTACAAATGGAATTCACAGCTGTGTTTGGACATCCATCTGTCCTCTGCTCATTTACTGCATGTGTTCTGGTTTTAATGAAGACCATGTGTGTGGAAATTCTTCTTAATAAAATATATGCAAATATATATTTTTTAATGATATAAATTTATTAACCATCTTAATTATTTTTGTATACATACATCTTTTTACAGATTTCCTGATGCTCGAGAACATCACTTCACAATTTCGTAATCCATGTATATTGGATTTGAAAATGGGCACACGACAGCATGGTGATGATGCCTCGGCGGAGAAGCGCTCCAAACAAATGGCTAAGTGTGCGGCCAGCACGTCGGCATCGTTGGGTGTACGCCTTTGTGGCATGCAAACCTATCAGGCGCATACCGATCAATATGCCAAGCGGGACAAATATTGGGGACGCGAGTTGGATGAGAGTGGCTTCAAGCAGGCTTTGCATGACTTTTTCTACAATGGCTATCGATTGCGCACACGCGTTATCAAGAAAATTGTACAGCGGTTGCTCCAATTGCGTCGCGTTATCGAAAAACAATCCAGTTACCGGTTCTACTCGTGGTGAGTGAAACACGAAATTATATTCTATATTATATTTTTGCTAAATTTTATGCTTCTCATTTCTAGTTCACTACTCATTGTTTATGAGGGCTATGAGGGGAATCCACAGGCTCATCCCATGGATATTGAGGAGTGGCTTACACCTACCACGCCGAAGTCAGCTACAAAATCCGCTACTTTCGACTATCATCCTGATAATAGTATTGACGATGATGACATCGACGATGACGATGTTGTAGATGCAGATGATGACACTGCCGGTCATGATGGTGGTGATGAGTTGGAGCCGCACGAAACAGAGGATGATGACCTGCATATGGTTGCAGCGGATAGCGGTAATGCATCGGCGACCAATAGCAGTACCGGCGGTGATCCATGCTGTTATGATGCTGATGCCTCGAACGACTCTACAACCGCAGCCAGTCAGAATCTCCCTGCCACACGTCGCAAACGCGGTTTGACAGAGGCAACTCTGGAGAGACCGCGTGGCTTCACAGATGTAGTAACCCCAGTGCGTGGCTATGATGATGACTCAGCTGCATCAGCCATAGGTGCCAATACTGTAAACGATGCAGTCTCAATGCCACCACCATCAATAGCAGGATTAAGTACAGATAGCAATAATGCTGTCGCCACCGGTGGCAATAACACTAATCCACCATTCATTCCAATCTCCGAAGAAACAGTATTCCTCGATCCCGAGCCCCCAATGCCAAGCGTTTCGACATCGTCACCACATTCGGGCGATTCGTGGATGAACTATAGCAGCAATAGCAGTGATGATTTCTCCGGACTTTCTGAGCAAATCAAAGCGGTCACCAGTGGTCGCCAAACGGGCGATAATAGTTCAGACGAGGCAAGCTCTGATTATGATAGCAGCATAATTGGTCAAACTGAGGTGATGCTTAAACTATACAAATCTCAGCAAGAATCCTTCGATATTTCGTCTTTGACGCAAACGGCCGACATGCCGCTTATGGCGACAACAACAACGGCGCGTCTGCCACATACCATCGTCTCATCTGCGTGCTCTACACCACCGTTGCCACCGGGCAGTGTTGGTAAACTGTCTGCATCCGTTGCCAACTCTTCCCCCACCTCCTCGACCGCGTCCTCGCTGAAATCAGTGCGCGGTGCAGTTAAACGTCTGCGTTGCAAAGACGCCGACGATGAGGATGAAGTGAAAGCCAGCGATAATAAAAAAGACGCTATATCGACATCTTCGCAGGCGAAAAAATCAACAACCACACTGAGTTTAGGCAGCGTAGTTACCGGCGCGGGGAGCAGCAGTAGTGCTGCACCAGTGTCGTCAACACCGACGTCCGTCAACGCATCGCCGGTGAAAACGCCGCTGATGACGCCAACCTCGACAACATCCGGCACTGAGAGCACAGTGGATAAGATCAAGAATACACTGCTCACTGGCATGCAGGAGATACACAATACGAGCAGTAACAACAACCACTGCAACAACAAACTTGTAAACAAAAAGAAGGCCACAGCGACGCGGCTAACATTACAACATGCCTCCAAATCCCTGGATATTGCAGGCTGTCAAGCGTCCGCAACTAACGAAGATGCACGATGTCTCGTAGATGTGCGTCTCATTGACTTTGCGCACACGGCATTCGTGCCGCGTAACGGTGGCGGATTGCTACAGCAGGCAACCTCCAGCACACCCGTACATCATGGACCAGATGGTGGTTTTCTAACAGGGCTAGACAGCTTAAATCGCTTACTCAACGATATTCTTACCGATGAGGTCTGCGTATAAGTGCCCTGTCCATGCTCTTAACTGCGTGAAATATTCAAGTGATCCACGTACAGATTCGCACCTCAACATGATGAAAAAGTGCAAGGAAAGTGCAAGAAGCTTGAAAAACACTTCAAGCGCAGACCTTACGCGTATTTATTTTATACGATGAAATACAAATCCACCAACAACAATTACAAATACAACGTAGAAGTACACAAGCGGCACCACCGCCACCAGCCCAGACAAAACTAGCCCTCCTCAAGCCCCTAACCATTGCACAATTGACTGAGTATGCGGCATGAATGGAAAATTTGGAAAAACAAAAACTGTGTGTGATTACTTAATGCGAGCGTTTGAGCAACTAAATTTAAGTGTAAAATATAAATTAATAACTACAAGTGATAGGAAAAACTTTTATGGAGTAATTGGAAACTGAGAATCGTGCAACCGAGAGAGAAATAGAATGAAAGGGAGTGAAAACTGAAGTGACACACGCACAGCGTTTGGCAGCAATACCTACATGTAATTAAGCTTTTTTAAATTAACTATTTTAAAGTGCTACTGACGTAGGGGCATGTTATGAGGGCAACTAAACAAAAATTGGAAAAGATAATTTAAAAAAATTAAAATGTTTGTAAAATGGCTAGACTATAGCTGCTTATTGACAGCATTTAAATTTTTATAAAATCCCATTAACAAAAAAATAATAATAATAGCAGCAAGAAGATATTCTAAATGTATAATTTGGAAGCGTTTTAAGCAAAAATAACAAAGGAAATACTAATCTACATCTGAAAAATACAAATTTTTAATAACCAAATTTTTACAGTATGCACAAAATGATATGCAATATAAACATTAAAATAAATGTAACATAAATACATACATACATTCAATATTAACTTGATAAAAGTCTTAATATCAAGACCTTAACTAACGCAATTAATCGGCAAAATAAAATACTTGCAAAAATTGGCGCTGCAACGATATTTACTGTCAGCTGAACTTATGCAAATCTATTTTTCGCAGAATAAATTACTAACGCTGAATTGCTAAAATTTGAAATGAAATTGCAATTCGTAAATTCGTAAGAACTTTTTCATTATGAAACCTGTGTACATTGAGCATTATTTTTTTAGCGATGATTTCGCTAAACTGAAACTGCAGTTAACTGTTAAAATGTACCATGTCATTTGATTAACTAACAACAACCAATTGTGAAGCAACACCTCTTGCACAATAATGGTCTTCCTCTTGCGAATCAAATATGATGTAAAATATTATCAGAAAATTAATAAATAGATTCATATATGTATGCTATTTTCAATGGTACACAAGAATCGAGATATTGCGCAATAATTAGGAACTTTGAGCCTTACATTGTGCATAAATTGTTTTTAAAAAATCAATTGTCAATCGAAACTTGTATCAGCATTCACGCATAGAGAATTTTGAATTACAAAAATGATATGAATCGTTTTTGTTCAGATAGTAACAATACATCTCTGCTGAGCATAGAAGAAAATATATTCATATACATAGTAAATAGTGGTCACTACGTTTACTTTGAAATTGTTATTATATAAATATTTTTTATTATAAAACCGAAAAGTCAACGTTTGAAGAAGTTTCTAAATCATCACTTCTTTTTTTTTACTATGCCGCTTCTTATGTGCAGAACCGAAAATCTTAGTAACAATTAAATAATTAAAATATAATTTTTCATCAAATAAATACCTAAATAAAAAAATGTTGATGCTGAAACAACTAAACTCAATAGACATCCAGACATTGGAAGTTCCAAGTTCATACGAAGATTTCAATAATTGTGAATAAATTATAAAATAAAATAAAAATGATAAATGAAATTATATATAAAAAAAAATTAAATAAATCGAAAAAAATTTAAATTATGAAGTAATTAATTGATATAATTTTACAAAAGTAATGCAATAAAGAACTAAGTGAAACAAAACAAAATTTGATGCTATATATGCATATAAAATACATACATACAATAAAAAACAACAATATCAAACAGCTGAAATATTAAATATTCACTAAACACAGTTGAGAGATATTCTTTCCTTTTTAGTTACTGCTAAAGACCGATTTCAATTTGTAGAATCTTCATTGCGCTGTTATGTAGCCGATTAAAATAATTTCGAAAAATTAATTATAAATGATTAAAGTAATAAAAGTAATTTTTTTGGATCTTTTTTCTTTTGTCGGAAACTTCAAAAATAAATGACAACAAAGTCAAAAACAAAATATTCAAAAAAAAAACACCTTTACATAGTCCTCATTATAATAACAAAATGCTAAATATAATAACATACCTGAGCGTGTAAACAAGGCAACCAAGTTAAAAAAAAAAACACTTTATTTTATAACATTTTAAACGTGCTATTTGTTAATAAACCTTATAAAGTTTAATTTACTTTTTACAGCTAATTGTATGACAAATTTTACAAATAGCAAAAATACAATTTTAAAGCAAACTTCGTGAGGTTTACCATTAAGCATTCAAAGCACAACACAGTATTTTTGCTTAAAACCCCAAAAATAAAAAATAAAAACATGAATAGTAATAAAATATACATGATTAGTTGCATAAATATAGGCATATAGGCAACAGCTAATGCCGATGAAGCAACCATATTGTGATTTTTGTTTGAAATAAAGTGTGAGCAAATTAAATAAATATAGAAAATTAAAAGTAGATAATGCGGTTGCATTTATAAATTTTGGTTTTAAGAGCTACTAATGTAATTGCAAAATTGTTTAAAAGTAATATATGTATTTATAAGAGAGACGTTAACAAAAATCTTATTTAAGCAAATATAATAATTATGATTTAAAGTATTTGTACAAAATAAATAAAAAATATGTAACATTAAACAAATAAATTTTAAAAATGAAGGTAAACCTAAATGCATGTTATCTGAACGCATACGCAGGCAGCTTTTAAAGCCAAAACTTTTAAAAGCAACAGCATTGATCTTACACAAAAAAAAAAAATAATATTAAAAAATAAAATAAAACTTAAAAAATTAAACTGACAGTTTCCTTACAAAATATAACTTTCTAAAATTAATATCTAGAATTTATATGCCACAATAAAAATATATTATTAATGTAAGTTCATTAAAAATCACTATAAATACAAAAAAAAAACACAAAAATAAAACAAAAGTATTCAAAAAAAAAATAATAATAAAATATTACAAAAAAATCTGCAAAACAATTTATGAAAAAATACAAAAAGTATGCCACACTCTTAATATGTAATTTATAATAATTATACACATTAACAATGCAAGCACACTACTGTTGTTAATACTTAAGTTAAAAGCTGCATTAATAATCATGAAAAATTATTATATTATTCTACAATACAAATTTAGCGGTTAATTATAGACATGTAGCGTTGTGCGAATGGAGAAATTAATCAAAATTACAATGATCTATTGGAAAATTTAAAATTTGTTCAATAATTTTTTTTTTCTGCAAAACTCATATAGTTCAACTATTCCAAACTAAAGATGTTAATTTAGTCTTTCGAATTTTTAATTTCGTGCTGTGTTTTATAAATAACTTTATGTCGAAATATTAATTGCGGATTACATATTTTTACTTTTGTTTGTTGTTTTTTCATCAGTATGAAGTAATGCTGATTGTGGATATTGTTAAAACAAATCCTGATAACAAAATTGAATTTCTATTATATAGATATTTGTTCATTATAATTTAAAAATAGCACGCTGCATTGTTTGAAACCAGATAATATACAAAATATGAAATAATTAAATAGAATTATGTTTAATAGCTTTTATTCGGAAGAGTATATACGTTGAAAAAAATTACCCAATAAAAATGTGCCCTTATTATTTTCAATTTATTTTTACTTTATTAATAAGATTCAGTTTCAAAATATTTAACAAATGCACACATCCATACTTCTATACTATACCTACATAAACTTGTATATCTATATTAGAAACTTATAATATTATTAATTATAATTACAAATGCAATAAATATATAATAAAAAATGCAAAAAACAAAATATTCTAGAATTACTTGAATAATTAAAGATACAATATAAATATATTTCCAATAAGAGTGATACGATTTTTTTTAACACACTGTTCAGACAATCGATATACAATAAAGTTCTATATATAACATCATTCAAATCGCTTCCACGACATTTTTAGCAGAATTGACTTCTATGAACCCAATTTTCGAGTACTTTTTCCACTAAATCAAGAGGTGTGTCCTGAATAGCACGTTCAATATTGACTTCTAAAGCTTGAAGAGTCTGGTTTATTGCTAAAGACCAATGACTTCAAATAATCCCACAAGAAGTAGTCTAATGGTGATAAAACACAGCTTCTTGGAGGCCATTCAATGTCACAACTTCTTGAAATTGGCGAATTTCCAAACTTTTCTCGCAATAATTCGGTTGTTGCACGTGTTGTGTGGGACTTAGCCACGTCTTGTTGGTACCAGATGTCGTCAAGATCAACTTTTTCCAATTGCGACCATTGGTTATCACCGATCTATACCGCTCACCATTGAAAATAAGGGTGTCACCAGCACCATTTCGGAAGCAGTACGGACGGATAATTCGACACGATCAAAATTTAATGAGTAATTTATGGGTTTTCTTCGCACCAGAATCATCATTTTGTTTATTTACCGCATTTCTTAATAAAAATCGTTATCGTTTTTAAGTTGTTCCAAGGTTAAATGAGCAAATTCACGACGTTAACAGTGGTCCACTCTCTTCAATTATTGGGTGAGAACAATTTTATACGGATGCAAGCCCAAATTATTTCTCTAAAAGGTCGAGTTGTGGTTTAAGACAGTCCCAATTCTTGAGAAAGCAATATTTTCATTACTTCGAGCGGTTCTTTGTTTTATTGGCACTTGAACCATTGTATAAGCCTACAGTAGATTTATACAATGACTTGAACATTATGTAGAGAAAATGTTCGATTAAATTTTCAACAATTCGGCGAATGTCAAGCACAGGTGGGCGATTATGGTAACCATACAATGGCATAAGCGCACGAGAGGTTGCAATTAGGGAACGATTATTTTCATAATAAAATTTAATAATTTGTAAACGTTGTTCTTGCGTATATATTTTCATGTTGAAATTGTCATTCTTGGAAATTGTAAGCAGATCATGCCATATTAAAAATGACCGAAACGACGTTAGACATTATATCATTACTAATGGAAAAACCAAATAACTATGTTTTATTTGCAAATGGAATTTCTTTAAACACAATATATTCACACAAAATATCTGCTTATATATTAGGATGTTGAAATTTTATGTTGTAAGTTATTTGAAAAATAAACTCAGAAAAAGCAATTAGCAAATTCGTTTGTAGTTTGTGGAAATCTAAGTACAAAAACAGTGTGCGCAAGCCAGCTTGCACAAACTTGCAGCAAAATCGCTGTTTCTATCAAATTTTAAATTTCCAACAGACCTATAGAAAGTACAGCAAGTTTCTGTCCAAAAAAAAATAAATAAGTGGCGCCACAAGTGTATACATTGTTACTAAATCAGTTGCAGCTATAAAGCTGTCACGGGCGCATATATATTGTAACGGATTTCTCGATAAATCGTCTACCTGAAACTCACTCTTGAGTTCGATCACTGGATTGTTAAATAAAGGTCCCAATTTAATGGCTACACACTTATCTTTATTTCTAATTCCAACAACTTAACACTTATTGCTCGTTATTTGAGCTTACAACTTCTTGCTTATGTCTCAATTGTTCTTATCACGACAACACTCTAACTAGAACTGTGTTTGCTGCACAATCCGGCAGCCCTTATATAGTAAATCTGAAACAATACATTGCTTCTAGAACATTCTGGCAACTACGTATTCGCTAACTAGATGCTTCCGGCAGTTTATCGTTGATTCGATTTTATTCTATCATCCGTGTTCGTCACAATATATATATTGATACTTTTGTATATTTGCGGCTTTAAAGTCAATTTATTGGTGGGCTATTAATTTCAATTCGACAATATATTCTTTAGTCTTAACTAATCAATTAACAATATGAAATAACTACAATTGAACCCAGATTTTTCAAAAATATAGGGCAACGCACCCGATCAGCTGATTTTGAATTGTCAAATTTGACAAATGCTATTTTGTGCCGTTTTGCTGCTACTACAGAATACTAAGTAATTGGAAAAGAGGTTTTAGCTTCTATAAAATTTTATAGATTCTTTAAAAGTGAGTTTGCAATTTAAAGTATCAACGCGGTATACCATTAAGTGGCAATTCTAAAAATAATATTACACTTTGCGATTGTTTTCATATTATTTACAAATGCCAACAGCTTTTAAAATTATATAACCTTGCGGTCAATATTGTACGACCCGCGAGTTTTTAATAAAATTTCAAATAGAAATATTGTTGTAGATTTATCTCCCGTTGTAGCAATAAACAATTATGGGCGGACACGGTCACAGTGAACCCTATAAAGTGCCACATCCATCAATATACAAAGTGGAAAATATTCCTAAGTTACGCGAAGTGCAAGAAGCGCTAGCCCGTCAGGGTTTAAAGGATCCATGGTTGAGGTAAATTTTGGTTAACAATACTAATAATAATAATAAGTCACGCTTATCTAATTTTAGGAATGAAGTGTGGCGTTATGAGCCCAGCAAAATGGGCACACATGCTAGTCGTGCCCGCGCTTTCTTCTTGCGTGGTCTATTGTGGGGTTCAATTGCTGCTGCCATACACATTGGTTCCGAATATGCTTTTAGTTCGAAAGATGATCACGGTCATGGACATGGCGATGGTGAACACTCTGAAGGCGGGCATCATTAAAAACTCCTTTGCGTGGAACATTCGTCGTTATTGCTACTTTTAAATAAAGCAAACAATTACCGAATTTGTCATTATCCGTGATTGCACAAAAGTAGCGTGTTAATCAAACCAAATACAGCGTTTAGGATAATTTAAAGGTTGTATTTTGTTTTATTTTGGTTTCTGTTTTCTACTTACTGAAATGCATCGGTTTCAAAGTTTAATTAATAGTTCTATTGGGTAATTAGTTCTGATCCTATTTATATGATAACGTGTACAATTTAAGCAATACGAGGTTTGAGTTCGTCGTAACAAGAACGGAGGAAGATTTGTGGTTTTTTGCCTGGATTGAAGTACTCATGGCCCTATAAACCAAATCAGATATAGTATAAACAAAACATCCGCTGAGTAAAATTTGTAATTACCTTCGACCAATCATAGCCAACCGCATAAGCGAATATTTGCCCATTATTATTGAAAGCACACTTTGTAATCGATTGATCCATTGTCTCTGAAGATTTAAGTTTTGTACGCGCATCTTTATCCCAGAAGCTGAAAGTGCCATCTGAGCCCACAGTTACCAAAGTACCATGCACCGGATGGAAGGCTATATCATTCACAGCAAAAATGTCCTGATAACCGGCAGTACCAGTTGTGCGATGGCACTTAAAAGTGAAATTATCTTTTGGATTCACTGGATTTACATACTGGATTGCAACACGACCTTCAATACTTCCAAGCGCATAACCTTCAATTATATAAATAAGGTTTAAAATGATGTTGAGCAATTTAAATATACATGTTTACCTGTCGGTGCTTTTTTCTTATCTCTAAAAATTGATATTGTTCGATGTTGATATTTCAGCGGGCTGTCTTGTCGTTTAAACTCAGTCGGTGTGTTTTCCAGTGAATAAACAATTAGACCCCTATTAGCAGTACCAACAACAGCCATTGGATAATCTACATCGGCACAGTAACAGCGTTCCGGTAAATTAATTGCCATTAGTGGATTGGGTGTACGAGTATCCCAAAACTAAAACGAAATTCCAAACATAAATAAATATTAGCAATGTCGAATAAAAGCTCGTTTGAAATAATTACCTTTAAAGTTTTATCCCACGAACCAGTCATTAAACAACTATAATTTGAACCTTTTATCCAGTGACATGTCTTTACGGGTGCATCATGTGCCGCTACCTGTACTACTTGGTCGGAGGCTAAATCCCACATTTTTACTTGTTTGTCACAGGATGCCATATAAACTTTTGTACCGTCGTCAGACCAACATACATCTAACACTGGTCCTCCCATTGTTTTCATTGACTTTGGAACAGTTTTACCTGTCTGCTCCACCTCCCAACAACGTACGCTGCTATCCCAGCTACCAGCTATGAGAAAGTTCTGCGGTATCGTGCTGGGACTGAATTCCATTGCGGATACGGAATCATCCGGTGGCATTGTTACTTCGAAGTCATTCATGCGATTTGTAGAAGGTGCAGCGGCGGTCGCACCAATGGTTTGCTGACCGAACATATTGTGTTTCTTACTTAAAACAAATTGGCGGCAACAAATTGATTTAACTTTCAGTCGTCAGTCGGTTTTTACAAGTGCTGTATATTTTACAATATTTATTCAACAAAGTCTAAATCTATAGTCACTATTACTGATTATACACAAATTCAGCCAATAATTAGAAAATTGGCAAAAAATCGCAATGTTTCGAAATTCAATCAAAAAAAACCACGCACAGGGGCTTGTTGCCGGCTGTCAAAAGTAGAGTGTTACCGGACTTGTTAGTTGAATAAATTTTAAACTATTTCAAGCATTAATGCAGAAATGTACTGGGTACATAATTACTTGCAATTTAAAAAATTTTATAGTTCTTTCAGTTAATGATAATTGTTAAAATAATTGTTACGTAGCACAACTTAAATTAAAGTATATCAAAAGTTTTACACGCAGCCGTTGTACATACAGAGAATGTAGATTATACCAGAGAATGTAGATATTTCTTTGACACTCCATTTTTCATGACATTCCGAAAATCGGCATGAAAGCAAGTGTTTTTTAGCGAATGCAGCGTATTGTCACGAATGGTATTCAAATTAAATAATAAGCATTACTAATTTGTGGTAGGTATTATTTATAGTTTCAAATATATATTACTGTACAAACACTTATTTCTGCAGTGACTTACTTATTTGGTGTATATCTATATTTGCATTCTACATTCATAATCAAGTCAAAGTGTGTTCTTGACAATGTTGCGTACCTTTGTAACCACCGCTGGACGACTATCACAACAACACCATCAATCATTGTTGCTCAGGAATGGCCGTCAGTTAATACAGCAAAGCCGCACCAAAGCATCGACACCTATGAATACAATAATAATGTTTGTGCCGCAACAGGAAGCGTGGATCGTAGAGCGTATGGGTCGGTTTCATAGAATTATGGAACCCGGCCTTAATATATTAGTGCCCTTTATTGATAAAATTAAGTATGTTCAAAGTCTGAAGGAAATAGCAATAGATGTACCCAAACAAAGTGCCATCACTTCGGACAATGTGACCTTGAGCATAGATGGCGTTTTGTACTTGCGAATCACTGATCCTTATCGCGCTTCATATGGCGTTGAAGATCCAGAATTTGCGATAACACAACTGGCGCAAACCACTATGCGTTCCGAGTTGGGTAAGATGTCACTAGATAAGATCTTTCGTGAGCGTGAATCTCTCAATGTAAGCATAGTGGACTCGATTAACAAAGCAAGTGAGGCGTGGGGTATTGCATGCTTACGTTACGAAATTCGTGATATTCGTTTGCCATCACGTGTACATGAAGCTATGCAAATGCAGGTGGAGGCAGAAAGACGTAAGCGTGCTGCTATTCTGGAGTCAGAAGGCAGTCGCGAAGCCGAAATCAATATTGCTGAAGGTAAAAGAAAATCACGTATACTTGCTTCCGAAGCTGAAAGACAGGAGCAAATTAATAAAGCGAGCGGTGAAGCGGCCGCTATGTTAGCTGTTGCCGATGCACGTGCCCGCGGTCTCCAGACTGTTGCTAAAGCATTACAAGATTTGGATGGCAAAAATGCTGCCTCTCTCACTTTGGCTGAGCAGTATATTGATGCGTTTAGAAATTTAGCGAAAACAAATAACACACTCATACTGCCATCGAATCCCAGCGATGTAACAGCACTCGTCACACAAGCTTTAAGTGTTTATCAAACGATTTCAAATAATAACATTGGAAATGTAAAGAATTTGCGTAGTGTAGATGATATTGTGGATAATAGTATTGATGAGCATAAATGTAAACAGGATAAAAAAATGGAAATTGAATAATTTGCGAAACGATAAAGTGAACAGTGAATTGGAATAAAATTTCAATTTATAAATCATATTGTTACATGCATTTGTTTTCCTACGGTTGCATTCAAATAAATTCCTTATATTTATTTGAATATAATTAAGTAAAAATGAAGTTTGGATTATTGAGTTAATTAGAAAAACAATTTTGTTTTATTCTTCATAATTTCGGATTGAAACCTTAAACTGGAGTTGATGAAAATATGTTTAATGGATCAGAAATTACCTAAGCAATCTGTTTTTATTAGATTCCCATAGGTAAACTCAAAAAATATTCGCATAGTAAAATTTAATCAATTTACAACAGTACTTTTTTCCTAACAGAACTGTGGTTTGGGTTCAGGTTTGAGTCATCGCTAAATGTGATGAATAAAAATCGAATAACGTAAAGTACATTATGATGATGTTCACACTCGGATTCCTTTATTGCTTATTATCGATAAAATATCTTTGCTGCCGCTTTCGCCCTAAAACTTGTGTTTTCATCCATGTAAAGTCTGTCAAACGAAATTACAATGAAAATCAGCTTTCGCAGAAAACTACTTGAAACCTCACATTCCACTCATTTTAATCGGTGCCTGCTCTAGTTTAGTCGATATTATTGGAAGTGATATTTTGTTATCCGTTAATTGTTACGCAATAATAAAATATCTTATTGTGCTGTCAAAATAATAATAATGAGCAGAAATTTAAAAAATTAAATTCATGGAGCGAAAGTAGAGAAGCGTCGCTAATTGAAATGTGGCAAACAAAAATCTGTGCTCTTCGCGGGTCAAGGAAAAATAGCCATAGCCTGGAGAAAATAGCAGTGAAGATGCAGCAACAAGGTGTGATATGTACAGCGGCAGAAATCAAAAATGTATAATTTATGACAAAGATCATCAGCGCTAATAATATCGCCAACCGAGCCTTCATCATTGACCACGTCATCACCAAGCCGTTAGAAAAGTGCGAATCTGAAAATAAAAAACGGAATCATCTCCAAAATTTATTACTAAAAAAATTTGATAAAATAGAGAAAATCAAGATTTTAACGAAACAAGCAAAAACAAAAAAATAAAGATAGCAGAAAAATTAGTTGTAAACGACAATAAAAAAACACAACTGAAGGAATAGAATGTTAAAGACACAAAATATTCCTTGACTATAAAAAAATAAAATAATATGTTTTCTTTCTGAGATATTCAGCGCCTTAAATTAGTTCAGCCTTATAAAGTACACTTAAGATGATGTACACATTGTGATACAATGTACACATGTATTTACCAAAATATGTACAAAGTGCTGTCCGTATCGATTCTTCATTAATTGTGTCGTCAAATGCATACATGACTCGAATTTTGGCGTCTATTCTCCAACTCTTCCATTTAGCGTTTTACCTCGAAACCAGTCACCAATTCTGTTATGATTTCTCTAGTTAATTGCCACTTTTTGAAACAGGATGGTTGCAGTAGTCTTAAGATTTCGTTGCAAATACATTGTTCGACTGCGAAGATATTAGCGATACTCCGCAGATAAGCCTAAAGCAAATATTACTATAACCACTCTTTTCTCGACCCGAATAGCTTTTCGGAAGTTCATATCAGTTTTTTGTAGAGGCCGTAGAATGTCGCATAATTTCTTAAATGAACTTCGGTTCATACGAAACTTTTCTCAAAAAAATGCAGATCCATTGGGTTACAAATCGTGTTCCTAAAAATGCTGCTTCCGTTGATAGAATTAATAATATTTAATTGAAACTTTTGCATCAGTAGAAACCAATACAAACTTTTGTCCAACACGATTTATTCGGCATCGCAAGGTCCTTTATTATATCTAGTGATTGAAAACACACAATGTCGGTCAGAACGTTTGATTCTACAATCCACAAATTGTGTTTCAAGATGGTTTCAATGACTGACTGAACATAGTATTACTGTTTTGCCTCATTAGTGTTATTTTACTTATCGTTAAGAATTATTGAAACGAAATCAATTCCCATCCAAACTTTATAGAAGTAAAGTGCAGTAAAGCATTAACTATTTCTCTTTAATTTTGCCAAATGAGTAATCTTGATATAGAAATCTGAAAAAATTGTATGACTTCTAAATTTCTTCAAATAAACTTATCTATTAGAATATATGTATGTATGTATGTTTGTTTGTTTAGCACCTTAATTTTAAGCACAGAAATCGCAAATTATTTAAATATTCAATTATAATAAAATTAGCATCTGATGCTTTTAATTAAGTCGAAAAATATCAGATTTATTTCCCACTTTCGTGGTACAATGAACTTATGAAGGTTGAAATACTATACCTAACAACATAATTTTTATAATATTACTATAAGTAGGTATAAACTTTAAATGGCTAGAATAATAAAATAATTATTTTACAACTTTGTTTAATAATGTAAAAAATTTACAAAGTCTTATCGTTTTGCGTTATGAGAGTGAATGCATGTATGCATGTATTTTCGCACGATAGCTACGCTTAGTGAATTTGAAAACAAAATAGAAAAACAAATAATAAAGTTTAAAAATAAAGAATAATTTATCTAAATATTTAAATTACTCAAAGACCAATTAGCACTACTATACATTTGTAAACATTTACATATATTTAATACATGTATACATACATATGCATTCGCTTTCGCTCATCAGTACACTCATACATACTTATATAAAATAAATAAAGGCAACGAAATTAAAATCCCCGAACATTTTTTGAATCGCACCTGAGTTTTGTGACCTCGTCGACGCACAGTGAGACGAATTCGAACAAAATACTAAATTTTAGTAGAATAAATTATTTATTCCCGTCACACGGGATAATTGCACTCCTTCGGAATTTACTTTACTTCTATATATTAAAATATTTATATTAGCAACAAAGTTTTTTCATAAAATTGTTGTAATTACTGATTTTGAATCAACTAATGATCACAACATCCCACTGAGTGGGCCTGTTGCCGTCTTGTCTTGTTGTTGGGTGTTGTGTGTGTTAAGGTGTTTTATTATGTCCATGTTTAGATTAAGTAATGAAAGAGTTGCTAGTGAAATTATTTATGTAAATTTTAAAATAACTTTTTATTATAAATTATCTCTTTCCTGCTCTTCTGTAGTCATTTTAGTTACTTCCATCTATCTGATGCAATAGTGACCCCACTGAAATAATGCTAATCTACATGCATGCACTTAGTTGAACGCACAATTATTTGGTACTTTTTTCGTTTTGAGTTAACTGTTGTAGCTAAAGTTAAAGGTAAAGTAGACATTCAAAATCTTGGTACATTTTTTATGAAAGTAGGTCGAGAATGCAAAACGCATGTAAATAACTTGCTATGATTAAGACGTCCTCACTAAAGCAGAGCGGTATGTCAGTAAAATTCACAGAATTTGAAATTGATAAATTGCTAATATGCGGTAAATTTTTTCCAAACAAAAAAAGATAATAAATAATATGAAAGGCAGGGCATAAGCAAACAATGTGTGTTAAAGGAAACGTAAAGAAGGTATAATGTTAATATTATCGACCGGAATCCACTACTTAGCCACCATAACATTTTTTGAGTATAAACTTTGGCGAAAAAAAGTACCAAAGGCCGGAAATTGCATGATTTTACAAGAGTCATATACCTGTGGTAGTGTTGTAATTGGTTCGAATTTTGCCAAACTATAACAGACAATGACCTGTCAAAACAGAAATAAAAAAGTAAGGAAGGGTTAAGTTCGTGTGTAACCGAACATTTAAAATATTGAGATGAT